CCCCTTCCCCCAATTCCCCAGCGCTGTTCCCATTCCCCCAATTCCCCAATAAAAATATTGAAAAAAAAAAGTTGTTGGGATAAATGACTTTCTATGCAGGAAAAAAGAAAATTAGGTCCGTACCTCATTCCACACATAAAGTTAAAATCCAGTTAGATTATTAAAGTCTTAAATATAGAAAAACAAAACTTAAAAGCTAGTGTGCGTGTGTCTGACTTATTGGGAGAAAATTACAAAATGTAAGTGAAAGACATAAAAAACTTAAGTAAATGGCAAGAAATACCATGTTTGTGTTATATATGGGAAAACTCAATACCTTAAAAATAGCAAATCTCACCAAGCAATGTTTTCCCAAGTGAAGCCTGAATGAAGGTCACCTGCATCAAAATTACCTAGAGAGCTTTTAAAAAATGTAAATTCTTAGACTCCATTTTAAACCTCCTGAATCAGCATGTATGAGGATGAGGCCCAGGAACCTGAATTTTAGAAAGCTCTCCAGATGACCGTTCTGTGTACTAAAACTGGAAAACCTTTGCCTTAGGGAAGGAAGTCACAACCTGAATTGCACGTGAGAATCATCTGGGACAGTTTTTAAAAATTCGGATGCCCAGGCCACACCCCAGACCAATTAAATCAGAATTTCCAGACAAGGTACCTGTGCATCAGCATTCTAAAAGTTCTCCAGTGATTCCAATGTGCAGCCAAGGTTGAGCACCAGTGTCCTGGATGAAGGAGTATCTAAAGTCAGGTCTGTAATGTTTGCTGCCCTTCCCCATTTGAACTTACTTCTAGTGCTAACCTAGTAGGGATTAGCCTTTATTTTGATTAAAGAAGACACAATTTCTTTACATAAGGGTTATAACGTATTCATTTGGTATCCCTAGCATCCAGATACAAAGCAGGGGCTTGGTGGTCATTTTCTGAAATCAATCAGCTAAATGAAACTGAATGAAATGAATCAGTATATAGGTGAATAAAATTTTTCACCAAACTCTAAAAAGTCCACTGGATTCAACACACCTATGTGGCACCTGGGCACAGTGTTTCGCTGAGAGGTATAGAGATGAACAAAATATAGCCCTTCTCTTCAAGTGTTCTTGTTCAGGTGCGGGAGGCAGATACAGACAAAAGTGGCTTACAATTGAGCAGACAATGAGAAGTGTACAGAATACAAAAGGGAAATAAAAGAAAAATTAGTTCTGAATGGCAGAACAATGGAAGGCATCATTGAAGAGTGGTCTTGAAGTGTTGCTGGGACTCAGCCAGAAAGAAATCAGGGAAACGGGCAGGTGCGCGATAGGCATAGCACAGCTCTGCGCAGCATGAGCCGAATCAGATGGCCCTTTCTCTAACCTTCATGGAAGGCTGTGGGGCAGATATTAAAGGCTCCCTTTCTTTCTGATTTCCCTGTGACTCCTCTCACTTTTAAAGTATTTGCCTCTGGTTTATTAATTCTACCTCCTGGTGCCTCGGCTGATTTCTTCCAGGAAAAGGGTTCATTAGCATTTCTATGGGGAGCACCTGCTACCCCATCTATCCCTATTAACGAATGCGAGGGCAATAGGGTTGACCGAGAGGGGAATTTTAATCCCCTCCTTATGACTCATCTATTTTCTAATTGAGAATGCTAGGTCTAAAGTCATAAATGGCTGCCCAGTGAAATCCATCCTTAACGTTGCAAATGATAACAAAGACATGTTTCTCAATGTTATATCATCTATGTAATACGAATGTATTAAAAATTAATCAACTTCATGATTGTGAATAATTCTAAAGATACCTTAGATACCACTTGAATGCAAAAATCCCAGGCTAGTGTGGATAGGTCATGAATTAGATGAATTATTAAATAGGGAAGGTTTCTCAAAACTGTAGCGTCAAAGGACATTTGAAATTATCTACCGGCTGTATATTGTGGGGAAAACCAATTAGTATGTATATGACTCTGGATGCTGCATATATATTTTATATTATATACCAATATATTAAGCGGATGGATTATGTGTCCTTTATTTAAGCAAACTGCTTGCATTGATGTCATGTGACAGATGTCCTTTGTAAAGCCCATAAGATGAGCCAGTCACCATGGTGTAAACCACTATGATTTATGTAGAGTGGCAAAAGAAAAGGGTCTATAAATCAAATTATCACTGAAATGGAGCCAAATTTGGTTTCTAAGGCAATGTAAGGCTCATTTACAGCAGATACAGAGCATACTTAAATTCAGGAGATATTCAGAATCATAACAAGGAAAAGAATGTAAGACAATGGGGAAGGAAAATCAATATTCCAGATAAGCCCAAAATTTCTAGGCATTTTTCTCTTTATAGTATACTTAATTAATTGATTATCTTATTTCTTCATATCTACTTTCACCCAAAGTGTACGTCCCTATTATTGGTTAATTTTCCTTCTGGAACAAAACATAATGTCAAATTTCACATCAAATTTGTCATGCACTTAAATTGTCCATTAAAGAAATTGACTGTCTCTTAGCAACACTCGTTGTTTTAATGTTTCAAAACCCTTCTGATTATACAGCAAAATGAAACTGCTACCCAAAATCATATGCATAATTAAATCTTACAAAAGACCTAAGTTAGAAAAAAAATATTTTTGAGGTGCTCAGAGATTTTTTTTTGACAGGTTGGTGGAATTCTGATAGCCACAAAATAATCATCATTCTCACCAGCTATGAGAGCATAACCTTTCCCCATTCAATCCAATCACTTGCAGTATGTGTGTAATTCTAACTGTAAAGCATGACATGCTTACAGTATAGTTAAGGTGTTGTTTCAGGGTAAGAGGCTATATGGAATAAAGATATAAGCCGAAGTATTTGGAGTGAGTTGTATCTGAAGGGTGGATTGTTCCCTGACTGTCTGGCCAATCATCCACGGACAAAGCAAGTCCCACCAACTTGAAAACATAAACTGCGGGGGATCGCCCAAGGAGAGTTGAGAATGTGGAATCTCTCTTGGTTGACACTGATTCTACGGAAGTGAGGAGAGGTAGCTCCTACCTGGTGGGTGTTAAGGTTCCACCTGCCACAGGGTGGTAGAATGGGAATAAGAAGATGAAGAGGTTAGGCCAGGAATCTGTGATGTTGGGCCAACCTTAGGTTTCTCAGAGAATGAAGTAGGGCTCTGTAAATATTATAAGAAAGCCATGGCAGAATCACAAAACTACGTATTGGCTTTGTTTTTTATGCCCCTTGCTTATTTGCTTCCTTTCTTTTCTTTCTGATCTTCCCTTGGTAGCAATAAAGATATTGTGAAAATTTACCTCCTAATGGCTGTGAACTAAGGAAAAGACTCTGTGTCCCTGCCTAACCCAGAGCTTTAAAAGGAAGTGGTGTACTCCTGGGGGACCGGTGTGGTCACAACAATAAACCAAGAGAAAAACGCCAAGTGGGAGGTGGAATTCAGGAAGACAGAGTAAGGACCAACTGATTAGCTCTCCCTTCTCATTGAGAAATGCTTTCCTGAGTTAAAACCTGGGCTGTGGGGTTGATTTTTGTCTCACAAGAGAGGATGTCTATCTATGTTCTTCTTTCCTCACTGGAGAAGGACATCAGTCTGATATGAGGCTACATATAGGGTCTTGGCAAAAGACACCCATTCTGCAGTCCTTCTGGCCACACCCATAGGCTGGCAGGAGGCAACTGGCTATGGCATTGATGAAGGACCCCATAAGCCACATTTTGAACACCTTTAACTCTATTATTCATCATGCACATCTGCTTCTCCAGAGACCCCCCCAAACCCAATGTTACATATTCAAAGTCAGCTGTGATCTGTTAGCTGATTGATTCAGTTGGAAATATAAGGGCGGAACTGAAAGCTAAGCATTCAGAAATACATGTTGGATGTATGAAGGGTGAGAAAGCAGTTTGGAATGGCCAAGACTGCAGCAAGAGAATTCTAGAAGGATGGAAAGAGAGAGAGGTTATGTCCTTGCTTGAAGGCATTCATTTACAGGGGATTTAAATGTGCTAAAGAGGGGGTTCTTGGTGGTAAGACAATGAGATACACATCTGGAGAACATAAAGAGAAATGTGGGAAGCCTGGACATATCCAGTAAGTAAAAATCAAAATAGTGAGGCATCATGTAGAGGTTGGAATGGAACCAAGATGTACTAATCACCTACTATATGCCAGGCAAAATTTTTCCCTTGAATCATCTCCTGAATCCTCACAACGTCTAGCACAATGCCTGGCATATAGTAGGTGCTCAAAAATATGTCAAATATTTAATATTAAATTAATAAATGAGAGAGTGATTCTACAAGAACAATCTATTATCCGTAACACCTGACAGATATGACCCTGAGGCCCAGAAAGGTGAAGCAACTTGCTTAATGTGTCACAGTCAGTAAGAAACGTAAGGAGTCTGACTTCAAAGTCGATCCTAGAAGGAGGAGGGTGATCTCTAAGGACCCTGCAGGGAATCTAGAAAAGGGTGTGGTGCTGGGGTATCTCCCAGGCACTGAGACGGGGGAGTGAAGAATGAAAGGCCAAGTGAACTGGGCTATGGAGGAGGGAGTATTGGTCACAGAAAGAACTCTTTAGGGCGGATGGGGCCCTGCGGGAAGTCTAGAAGGCTGGTTGGTGGCAGCTGAGCCAGCAAGGGGCAGCAGACAGGCTAATGCAGCTGGTGAGTTGGGTGGGGCGGAATGGAAGCACAGCTTGTGAAGAAATTGCAAAGGGTCTTTGTCGGGCGCACAGGGATCTGATGGGGGAAAAGCTGGCTGAAGTGATAAAGCGAAAGACCTGGGCAGGCTGGTATGGATAGTATTAAGAAAGGGCACGTAGGAAAGAGCAGGAAGAAGTCAGCCACAGGAGGGTGCCTGAAATGGGGCTAGGGATAGGGTGTGGTCTGGGATGTGAGGGGGGAGGCTAGAGAAATAGCCCTGCTCTGCAGAGAAATAGCTCTGGGCAGTCTTCGGGAGAGGATAAGTGTGACCAGCTCCGTCAGATGAGCTGTGTCCTGCGTCTCACCTGTAGGAGCTGCCCACCGCACTTGCCACCTCCTCGCGGATTTGCCTGTTGAGGGCGTCCGCTGCTGCACGCCCTTTGCCACCCTCCGGGCCCGAGGCCTGGACCTGCGCCTGGGCTGAGGGCAGTGGCGTGTGCTCGGGCCCCGGCACCTCCGTGCGACGCCCCATCCAGGCCCCCGCCTTCCTGCGTGTGTCGCGTTCTTCCGCCCCGGACGCCTTTCCCGCCGCGAGGACACCTGCTCCGCCAGGGGCCGCCGACTGCTCCGGAGCCTCAGGGGCGGCCTGCACCGGCCAGCGCTCCTGGCTCTGGGGCCGGCGCTTGGGCGCCCCGAGAATAGGCACCGAAGCTTGGGAGGATGTGGGGATCTGCACGGGTTTGGGGATCCACGGGTGGTCCCCGCGGCGCGGCAGTGGCCAGGCGCGGAAGTCCTTCTGGTACTGGGTCTCGCGCTCGAAAGGCGCGTCGGAAGGCTGGTACTCGCTGCGGGGCCGGCAGCTCGGCTCGGGCCGCTGCACCTTCCAGGCGCGGTAGTCCTGACGCATCACCGAGTCCGCTGGGCCCGCGCCGGAGGTGGAGCCGGAGCCTGGGCCCGAGGCCAGTCCACTCCGGCCGGATGCGGCCGCCGCCTCCCTTTCGCCACTAGGCCCGGGCGCCGGCCCTGTTGCCCGGGCAACTGCATCCAACTCGCCTTGGGCCGGCTGCGTCTCTATGGCGACAGCCCGCGCCGAGGGGGGCGCTTGTGCTGGCTGCGCCTGCTGCTGCTGCTGCTGCTGCTGCTGCTGCTGCTGCTGAGGCGGTGGCGGCTGTGGCGGGGCGCCCGGGTGCTCGGTGGCCTCCGAGTACTTGGTGAAAACCAGCGGCACGGCGATGTCCGCCTTGTCCAGCTGGTTCCAGAAGCGGGCGATACAGCAGGCCCGCGTGATGCACGGCCACGCCATGATGCTTAGCTGCAAAGCTGGTCCTCCCTTTCTTTTTGTGGTTCTAAAGCAAGTCTCTAATCTTCCTTCAATCCCCTGGCTCTCGACCAGCCAATCCGGTTCGCACCGTTTTTTCCCTTGGTGGCCTGAGCTACCTCGCCGTCCTCCCTCAGAAAGCACCCGGGAAGGTTGGGCCAGCAAAGCTATCACCGAGATAGTCTGTCAAGTCCCTTGATTACCGGCTGCAAACGGAGTCTGCTGCAGTCACCGAAGGGTGAGAGACAGGACGTCCCCAGATCTTCGGGCGAAGGCGTCAGGGAAGCGCCTCTCACTGGGGCTGCGGCGGCGCGCAGACCCCGGCCGATCCAGGCGACTCGAGGCAAGGTGGCCGCGGACTTAAGCCATAGCGCAGAAGAAAGACAGGGCAGTGTGGCTGCAGGGTTCGTGGACGAGGCTCTATTTCGCCTTCCTGCTGGCGTCCGGTCGCAGCCGGCCACCTAGCAGGGCTCGGAGGCGATCACCTCCCTCGGAGAATGAGCATTGCTGCCTCTGCCGCTGCTCCCAAAGACGCTGCAGCTGCCGCCGCCCGCCGCCGTCTCTGCTGCAGGGGGAGCGGCCCCACCCTTTTCTGCCGCTCAGCAGGGGGAAAAAAAATCCAGGAAAGATGCTGAGAGAACGAGCGCTGCAGAGAAAAAATCACCTGCTGTCGTCAGCGCCGGCGCGCGCTGCTGGGAGTTCGCCCTCTCTTTCCCCTCCTCCCTCGGCTCTGGCAGCTCCTCCCTCCTCTGCTCCTAGGCAACAGAATCTGGGGCCTAGGTGGGTTCAAGTCCCAGGCTCCGGAAGACACTGTCCTTAAGCTGGTCGCTGCCCTTCCGTGGGCCTCAGGCTTCTCTTTTGTACATAGAACCAGTCATTGGGGGGTGGGGTGGGGGT